TACTTGAAAACTAATTACTGGAAAACTTACGTACAGGAGCTAGCATAAATTTGTGAAATCTACCAATATGATACACTTTCGGTTTTATTGATGGTTTTATAACCGTCGTTGGACAGCCGACCCAATTTTTGGGTTTACGACTACTAATCTTCAAATCCGTGGCCTTGTAATTTTAAACTCAACTTAGAAGACAAGGGATCTCCTGGATCAAGTATTGAGAGGACTTTTTGGTGGAACTAACCTGTATTCGCGTTACATGGAGAGGAAAAAACACGAAAACCTCTCACGGTTAGCCTGGTGGCAAGGGGACTCTAGCCCATGATGCGTCTACCGCTGAGGACATTTTACATCAGCACTGTGATCGGTGCGAACCGGGTGCGGACTTAGAATGGACCAATTATCGCTGGGATCGAACCCGGGTCACCTCATTGGAAGGCGAGCGCTTTATATCCGCTTTGGCTCTCACCACGACTAATACTTTCAGTTTTGATTTTTTTAATAACGAATTATAGCGGGTTTTTTTTATTTATTTATTTGGCAAACGAGAGCGTCTATGAACGCTACTCTCTCTTCTAATAATTCGCACTAAATAAAATCGCGAAATAGACAGACAGACAGACCAGACGGACAGACAGACAGACAGATATCGACGTGCAATGACTCAACAAGTAGTTGGAAGTCTCTTTTAGGAATATTCAGCCTCAATAGATATCCCTAATTGCGCTAGTGTGTTGGAATTGTAGAATTTGGGGCATGAACTGACCTCTCGATTATATTCAAGAAGTATTCGATGGGATTCATGTTTGGTTATCTAAGTGGCCAAATCATTCGCTGGAGTATTCGCTATATATTCACACAAAAACGAAAACAAATGACGCATAACACATTTTCAGCGCTGATAGAAAAAAAAAATTTCCACAAACGCAAAATCTTAAGAGAAGGAAAGAAAACTGAAAAATTACTTGAAAAACAATCCATCGCATCTCGTAATTAACAGCCAACCTTTTCGCTTCATTTTCATAAAAGCTGTTCGTCACGAAAAATGTGTTTAGATTTTAAAGCGGCAGATATTCAATGTCCAGACATCTGCTTACGTAAAAAATGCTATAAATAAGCTTCATAAAGTTACTAAATGATACATTTTAATTAAGAAACTCATACTAAGTTTTGAAATTCAGCTATTTCTTTCTTTATTAAAAAAAATATTACAAGCAATATTTAATGATCTAATAAAAAAATTTCATGGTTGAAATTTATTATGGGTTATACAAACATCGTTTAAAATGGTAGTATGAAAAAAGAAGAAATAAAAAAAAGTTGTAAAACAACTTAAACTACCTGATTGGATAATAATGCATAATTAAAGAAAATAAAAAGAAACATCAATTTTTAATGAAGTTAAACATTTTCTAACAGAGTTTTTAAAAAGGATAGGAGATATGTTAATGTTCTCGTTGGCTGTTAGTTTAAATTGGATTTTCTAAATAGTGTTCAATTTTCGTCAATATTCTATTGCGATAAGAAGTGCGAAGTAAAAAAGAACAAATTATTTGATAACATCCAATTTAGTTGCGTGTTAAAAAAGACACATATAAAGGCAAATCTGGAAGTAGCTTTTAAAGTGTTTAATTTTGATCAATTTATTTCAAATGAGAACGAAACAACTATAACACCCGCATTGGAGTTAATTAAAATCGTCTTCTTTCGCAAAATGCTAAAGTTGTTAAGAAAAAGTATTCTTTTTAAAATTCCTTTTTTTAAAACTAGATTATGCAAGGTAAATCATTACTATTAACGAGTTCTTTACAGTTTTTAAGAGCTTTTAGATGAAATTTGATTTATTACATCAGAAAAAAAAACGGTAATTTCCTCACTTCGGCTGAATTTACAGCTTTGCCTAATGCTATAAATAAAGAATTAGGAAAAGAGGAAAGCAAATTGTTTGAGATCTCAACTGCTAAGTAGTTGAGATCTTCTGAAGATCGTAAAAGTAAGTAGCTTAAGCAATCGATTAAAATACACTTAAAATTTACATCGAGTTTCGCCGGTAAAGGTGGTGAAACTAAACACAAGAACTATTTGGATTATTTATAGAAAATTCAAAGGAAATAGTTCTCAATTCCGTGATTTAAAGAAAACGTTTATTTTAAGACCTCTCATTAATAAAATAGATAATAGTATTTGAGCAAAATTTTTGAAAATGAATTCATATAAATTTAGAATTCCTGCTTTCTAAAAATATTTCACTTTCGTCTGTACTCTAATTATTTACTAAGTTATAGCAGTTTTTGCGCAAGATGGATAGATTAGTGGTTTTAAATCTTTAAATGAGTTTATATCAAAATCAGGTCTTTTCTTAATTTACAACACATTAAACACGATATCTCATATTGTTTTTAAAATAAATGTCTACAATTTTTCATGAGTGTTTATGATTATAGTACGCATGTTTTGAAATACTGACAAAGAGCAGGGGGACCCTATTTTTCAGATTGCGACTACTTCCTATATTTTGGGGGTCAGAAATCCGTGAAAAATTAGCATGTTTATTCAGAGAAAGTACGTTTTTATATCTGATTTCGTTATTTAAAATATCATATGAATTACACTGAAGAGCCAAAAAAACTGGTACAGGCATGAGTATGCAAATAAAGGGGTATGGATCCAATCAAAGTACAGCGCTGCGATCGGCAACGCTTATATAAGACAACGAGTGTCTAGCACAGTTCTTAGATCGGTTACTGCTGCTACAATGACAGATTATACAGATTTAAGTGAGTTTGAACGTGGTGTTATAGTCGGCGCACGGGAGATGGGACATAGCATCTCTAAGATAGCAATGAAATTTGGATTTTCACGTACGACCATTTAACGAGTATACCGTGAGTATCGGAAATCCACCAAAATCCCCAGACATGAACATTATTGAACATATTTGGGATGCCTTGCAACGTGAGGTTCAGAAGATATCCCAACCCCCTCTTACTCCCACTGGTTTATAGACAGCCCTGCAGGATTTATAGTGTCAATTATCTCCAGCACTACTTCACACATTGATCGAATCCATGCCACGTCGTGTTGCGGCACTTCTGCGTGCTCGCGGGGGTCCTGCACGATATTAGGCAGGTATACCAGTTTTTTTGGATCTTCAGTGTACATAATTAGCATATTTGAGGCCATCCTCCCGAGCCATTAAGATTGAGGCCTAAAACGTGAAAATCCGATCATTAGCTCAAAAGTAATTTAGGGTGGTTCGTTTTTTATTTTGATCACTGTACAATATGTAGTTTTTCAATGAGTTTTCAGCAAATTATGCACTAGCACAATCAACACTTCAAACACTATTATATGTAAAAACAAATTATTTTTCACAGAAACTGATTATAGTAAACTCATCGCAGAAAGTTCACTATCCAAGTCATTTTTGATGGTTTTCCATTGATGGACCAGCATGATCTTGATGGTAACCATCAATAATTCCATCATGAACCATTATATTGTTTGATGGTAACCAATCCAAGTAACCATCACCCCATTGAAGGAATTCGGATTTATGATAATCCAAAGTAAGAATAGAAGCTTGTTTTGATGGTTTGCTTGATTCAAACCATCAGAAATTTCCACCATATTTTCTTAGAAATCAAATGTTTCAAAATGATCACGACCAATGTAGGAATTCGGACTGAATTATGATGGGCCAAAATAAAAGAAACCAAATTGTTTTGATGGTATGTTCCATCAAAACAATTTCGTTTTTCTCATTTAACCATCAAGAAAATGTATAGTTGGAACCATCATGGACCATAATGGATTTGTTATCCTATGAGAATCAAACTTTTCTTGATGGTGAACCATCATAGCATTACCAAATTTTTTTGAAGGAAGAAAATGCATAAAATTAACATATTTTTTTATTTCGTTAATAAATACAAGGAACTAAAGCAAAACATAATACACAAGTTTTAAGTAGAATATTTACATTTTTTTATGTGTAAAAATTATTTAATTTATCATGAGTTTAATATCCCGAGTTATCTCGGGCAAATGTAAAAAGTTAAATAGTAGTCTTTGTATGATAGTTTTTAAAACAAGGAACAACACGAAGTGATAATTTCCAAACACTAGTGAAGTGATAAGACATTTTTGTTTATTCTTTTTTACTGTGTAAATTTTAGAAAACAACGTATATGCAATCGCACGAAGTGTGCAGTCCCACAACCCAACTCCCGAACAAAATTTGGCAAATTTCCAAACACAGCAGATTGTGTTTTATTTGCTTCCAGCAGCGCACAGTGGGCCAGCGGCCAAGTTTTCGTGGCCAAAATTAGTATTTCGATAAAAATTTTTTCAAAATTTGGGATTTTTTATGTGCAGGTAAATTGAATTCATAGTTGAAATTTTGAAATACACTAAAAATACCAACAAAAAAAATGGCAGCTGAAATATGGCGAGCAAAAAAAAAAATAAAAATAAAAAAAAATAATAATATAGTACGTTTAAATAATTAAATATAGCAATGAAAATATAATAATTTTCGCAATTTTAAAATAAAAATAAAAAGCAAATTATATTTCCGAAATAATATTACAAAATAACGCGAATTAATGAAAAAAAACATAATTTTTGTTTTTCGGTATATTTAGTCCACCTTTGCAATATGGGCAAAATGGGGCAGATTTTTCCGAAAGAAGAAACCTCAAAGAAGACAACAAAAAAAAGTTTAGCTAATTACCTCGTGGAACTTTTTGGAGATAAGTTTCGAAAGTCATTCAAACATTGTAAAATGTCAAATGATAAGATATAAACTATAAGTTTGTCAAGAGTATTAACTAATCCAACAAATTGAAAAATTGTACTATAATTTCAGACTAATTACTCTGATAAAAATGCAACAGTAAGGTGAAATTCCTATATATATTTCTGAAATATAAATTTAAAAGTTACATTAAAAATTTTTTTCATTACATTGTACTCTCGTCGGTCCAAAAAGTAAATTATAATGTTTGGAATGATTATGAATACTTAATTTGGGTGATATTAAAACTGCCTACACATATTTTAGTTGAAAATTTAATTTTGACTTTTGGCCAAAGATCATGGTCTTCTGCCCCACTGTGCAGCGTAAAAACGTGATGAAACAAAACAAACTGACAAATTCTGCTATACCCGAGTTTTCTCGGCATAATCAGAGGAGAAGCAGTTAAAGTAGCATTTTGAAATACGGAAGTTTGCTGGCATATAAAAAACTATGAACGCATAATGGGAAATGTGGGATGGTGACCATCAAATGATGTTGAACCATCAAATGATGTTGGACCATCAAATGATGTTGGATCATCAAATGATGTTGAACCATCAAATGATGTTGGATCATCAAATGATGTTGGACCATCAAATGATGTTGGATCATCAAATGATGTTGTACCATCATGAATCGCACTGAAACCAGCATAAACCATCAAAATGTTTTGGTGGGAACATCAAAAAATTTGGCATGGGTCAAGCGGGGTACCATTAAAACGTATTATGGCAGTCTCAAAACACATAAGTCCTCTCCGTGTCTTTGATTTCCTCTCCATTCATGATCTGGAGAGGTATCTTTCTGTCTGGTACCACTTTGTTCCTCGCTGTATCAGCAACGGATATTTCTGTATGGGACAAAAAAGCATTGGAAGTTCGCAGGTAGCTCTTAGTGCGTGTGTTGGGATTTCGGCGTATCACTGCTCTCAAGTAACTGTTACGCACTACTGTTTGGACCTAATGAAGAAAAATAAATAACTTTATTGCACACATTCTTTCAAAACGACCCAACCTTTGACTGAGCGTTGCACCAATTATTCAAAACAATTCAACTGAAGGGTAAGGAACAGTTTATATCCATTTTTTCAATGACGATGATTGATTTTGAGGTTATCTCCGAGAGTTATGCTGTATGGAACATTAACATAAACTAAACATTCAGAATGTATTAAATTTAGAAGTAATTATACCGACTAACATCGTAAAAAGTGATCATGAATATTCATGAAATATAAATTATTAAATTGGTTCATATGAATAAAATTAAGAAAATAATCTAAAAGAAATTTATGTAAAATGTATTATTAAGAATCTCCATTTTAAAGCATATTATTTTATGTAATATCAGAAACTAATATTTTTTCAGTTTGAAATATTTATCCAGAAGTTATTACATAATTGTACAGTTTAGAATGGTGCAAAGAACAGAAAGGACATATTTAATTTCAAAACAAACAAGTATAATGGTATGATATCCGTTAGGCTTCCTCCAACTTACTTCCAAATACATTTCCAGCCCCACAAGTTATTACAGTGTTGTCAGGCAGAAATTCCTTACAAAGGTTATTTTTTAATATTCATAATTAAATTGTTCAACAGGAAAAAAATTGCAATGTTGAATTTCTAGTAGAAGAAATGCGTTGAGCAAAATAACTTTTTGTGTAAACTATTTAACAAAGTAAATTCATTATAATTAATTGTTAATCACTGTACAGACACATAATTTTTAAAAATCCACGTCAGCTGTTACCCTTCTATATGAAGATGAATAGGTTCTTTCTATTCAAAAAGTATTCTAACGAATCACTATTAGTGAGAGTTTAACATAATGATGAAACTTAGAGGGTAACTTCTAATAAATGACTAAACTTAGTATTTTTTTCAAAAGAATATTTTCAAAAATAATATTTTTAATTATATTTTTAATTATATATTAATCTGAATATTTTTCAAAAGAAAATTCCAAAAAAAATATGAAAGGCTCTGTACAAAAGTTATGATGTTGATACTTACCTCCGAGTTCATGAAGCAATACAATACCCCGACAAAAAAGCCCTGAAAATATACACATTTTAAATCACTACTAAAAATAATGATAATTTGATTTAAAGAGTGCAATAATAAATCGTTTGTCTTGAGAGCTATATTTAGCTCGTCAGTGACTAATTCTTATCTAGAAAAACTTTTTGGTAAGACATACGTAAGATAAACGAATTTTATTTTTTGAATAGCCATTGTCGAATAGCTATAATTCGACGTTTAAATTTTGTGATTGCTAAGTAAAGCTTAAATGAGAAATAAATGTATTTTTGACTCTGGTGCTATTCAAATACCTATTTTCTTGCCCTTCTCTGAACACTGAATCACGTTTGGAAGATACTATATCAATCAAGTAATTTTTATGATGAATTTACACTTTATCAAGCAGTTTATTACCTTTTTATTAGGGATATTTCGAACTTTTACGCTAGCTTTCATACGCTCCTTTTCATAAGATTTGAGACTCAGACATGATTCCCAACAGATCACCGAAGTCAAGCATCACTGGCTGCGGCCAGTGAGCGGGCGGGTGACCACTTGGATCAGTCTGGTAGGGACCGAGGGCATGCGGTGTGGGTCTTCGTTAAACTGTTCTCCCGCAAAGTACTCGACTTCGCGTGCAGGTCGTCAGGCAACCGAAGCCGGGGTGCCATACTCCTCTGCAAGAATCAAAATTGTGATGGTATGTCTTTGGATCATCCTCAGGGATGTTTCCCAGTCCGCCGCCAATAGCACATTATGAAGTTCTAGTACGACGTAAATGAGCTACAACATAAGATTTGAATCAACTGCTCATGTTTGCATTAAATTTAGATGCTACTTATCTTTACGTTATGTTGGCGTGGTTTACGCTACAAAGATGAAACTACAAACACGACGTTTGTAGCTCTGTTTATTTTAAGCCGACCTTCAAACGAATAACGTGGATATGGATTGCGAAGTAGAAGAAATGTGTTGATGAAATTTAGAAATGAATCGTACTATATTGCTACTAACTTACCCTCGTAGTTTAGAGAAAACTACTGCAAGTTATGGTAATTTGTGGACCTCATCCAGAAACTAAATTTCCTTATCCATCGGCATCAAAGAGCTTCCTTGTTTATCGATGTATTCATTAATATCTACCAAATTTTTCTGCTCATAAAAACCACAGCTTTACGTAGAGCAAAGCATCTTGAATCGTATGCTATAGCTTTGTAGAGGTCGTCTATTGCGACCATTGTTAATGTTTGTTTTTTTATTTTGCGGTCAAATTTAAATTATATTCCACTAAATTGGTGTCTTCACTTTACGGATTTTTACAAAATCTCTTATTTTCCCTTACGTAAGTTAGATATTTTTTCGAGGGTGCATTAGCATTTCACCAGAACTAACACATGCGCACTAGAAGTGTGCATGGGCAATTTCCTAAAACCTTATGTACCGGAACGTATGGAAGCTAACGTAAATTTGCGAAATTTCCCTTTTACAGTCCCTGGCCAAATTATTAGACGCACTATAAGATTCTATGTGCCGGCCAGGTGGCCGAGTAGTTATCGCGCCTGACTGCGAAGCCAATGGCCGCGGGTTCGAATCCCGCTCTGGGCATGGATGTTTCTCTCTCTTGTGTTGTCCTCTGTTGTGTGTCATGTGTGAATGTGGCCCACCCTATGAACGGGTTTGTGGCAGTTTGGCGTGGGCAATGTTACTCGCCTCCGTGACTTTGGTTCACAGGTGCCCACTAGGTAACGCGAAATGAGTAACACTCTGGCATCTTCTAAGGCGAAACGAATAAAGTTCAGTGCCTGTCATTCGAAAAAAAAAGATTCGATGTAAAATCTTAATTATCAGGTAATACTACACACCTTGAATTGCTTTTACGCTGCTGGAACCGGCTAACACTTGTTTACGTCCGTGTATCAATTGGTTAAATTTGGCGATAAATAATATAAATTCAGCAATTGGATAAATTGGAAGATATAAATTAGACTGTATATTATATAAATATGGAATATTTATTATACCAGGTATTTTATTATTATATTGTAATAATTAGATCAAATTATTGGACGTACTTTAGTTTTTTAATAATGACATGTTTTGCGCGAGTTTATAGGCAATACTTTTATATTTAAACGTACATGTAATGGGTTTTTATTCAGGAGATTTTTTTTATATACTTCCGAATTGTATTTNTCAAATTATTGGACGTACTTTAGTTTTTTAATAATGACATGTTTTGCGCGAGTTTATAAGCAATACTTTAATATTTAAACATACATGTAATGGGTTTTTATTCAGGAGATTTTTTTTATATAATTTCTATTTGTATTTATTTCAAACGTATTGCATTACAATGTTAACCAATTGATACACGAACCGTAAACAACTGCAAACCGGTTTCAGTCGCGTAAAAACAATAAAGCTGTATAGTATCACCTGATAATTAAGATTTTTACTTAGAATCTTATAGTGCGTTCAATAATTTGGCCAGGGACTGTATCTAGATACTTACATAGAAACAAAATCGTCTCCATAAAGAAAATAATTGCGTGTTTACCGCTAATGCTGAAAATATAAATTCCTCCAGCAGACTGTTTCCTCCTGCTAACGAATGTTTTTGTGACCTTTTGACATAACAAGAATCAAAGATAAGTAATCAATGGGAAATGTGAGTTGTAAGAGTCAGAAAAAATCAGGCTAACTTAAGGAAAAGCCGATTAAGGTAGATTAAAAAAGCAGACGACATTTTTAGAATGGTTTGAGAGTTGGCTGATTTAGAAGGCAGAGTTTTCATGAAAAAGACTAGCTACTGAAAAATATAGCTCATAGTTATTGTTAAAAAAGTGAGATTATACGTTATAGTAGGAAAAAAAATGCAGAAACTTAAATATCGAGTTTCATTAGTTCTGATGCTATTGTATGGAAAATTGTCTAACCGGATGAAATTGAAAGAAACAAAGTGCAATTAGAAATGTTGAAAAGTTTTTTGATATATAAATAAACGTCATTTTTTTATAATAACAGGATCTTCAGTTTTTATACTAAAAAGAGCTAGTGCAATTAACTCTAATTTTTGATTAAATAGAGCTGTAAGCTAGCAAACGACTCTGATATTATTTTTTGAATAATTGAAAAGAATAAAGAAATTGCCGGCTGTTTAATTTGTATTTGTGGGGAGAATGTTACCGACAATTCATCTATCAAAAGGTGCCCCAAAATTGAATCGAGTTAACAAAATTGAATCGAGTGAATTGAAGTTTAATAATTGTAGTGGTAGTGACGTCACATAACAATGAATAATAACTAAACCTATTCGTCTACAGAAAGTTTTAATGAAATCTTACCTGAGATGATTGTAGGATGGCGTTTGTGAGCATGTAGGCTTCTTCAAACATGGCGTCGTCATTCGGGTTGATACAAAACATCAAGTGAGTGAGGCCCAATAGAGGGAACAAGAGGGCCGTGGCTCTTACTGCTTTCCTTTTAATATGAGATGGTGTGTTTAGATCAAGTACATATTTAATTTAATCTTAGTTATGAAAGTAAAATGCATCACAACTACAGAGGATTTAAAAGTAAATTTATTTTAAAAATTATTTATAACACAGTTTGTTTATTTATTTTTTTAAGAGAAAAGTTTGTCGCTCAGCTTTAGAGTGGAAATAAATTGCCTTTTAGAAACATTCGCGTTGCGCTAGGGGCAAGACAACTGATCATACACACACTGCTTTTCTATATTTTGATAATTTCATTATATTTATGTCTACGCTACGCCGGCCACATGGCCGAGCGGTTAGCGTGCCTGACTGCGAAGCCATAAGCTGCGGGTTCGAATCCCGCTCTGGGCATGGATGTTTCTCTCTCTCTCTCTTTGTGCTGTCCTCTGTTGTGTGTGTGGCCCACCCTATAAACGGGTTTGTGGCAGTGTGGCGTGGGCAATGTTGCTCGCCTCCGTGACTTTGGTTCACAGGTGCCCACTGGGTAACGCGAAATGAGCAACAATTCTGGCATAGTATAGGCAAAAGATTCAAAATTCAGTGCCTGCCATTGGAAAAAAATGTCTATGCTAGTGTGAATAACCGAAATCGGTGATTGCTGACAATCGCTGTGGTGAATATTCTAAGTATATACTGGGTCTAGTTAAATGCTCCGTATCATTATTTCGGTCATCAATATTTTTTTAAAAACGTTCAGTGTGTCCAGCATGCATTTAACCGGAACACTGACGTTTCTCCTATAAAATATCGAATAAATGCCATAATATCAAATGGGATATGACAAATATTTCGGACATTCACCCAAAGCGACTAGGTGACTGTTGACATTCACCAGTGAAAGTCAACATTCTTTCGATTTCAGTTATTCACGGTAACATGTATACATAGAAATAAGTCATTTTATCGTGTGAGTATTGAAGAAATAAATATTTTGTATGAAGCAACTACTTATTGAACACATATTTTGCTGATGCATGAAAAATAAAATTGGTTTCCGATGCAAACGGGTGAAAGCAATTCAAAAATTGATGAAAATGTTACAGTTAGAAGCATAGACACTAGTCATCTATAGCAGAGCTTTGAACTCGTGATAGAAGACGGAATATGATTGTCAGTAATATCTCTATAGACAGACTATAAAATTAACTAAAGCATTAAATTTCACACCAAAGCCATACCATATAAGAAATTATTGTGATAGTGATGCCCCCTCAAAATATTTACCGAGTATTTTCAAGCTTTGCACATCAACTCATCCAAAGACATATTTTGATAGCCAATAAGACTATGACACATTTTTTTACTGGTGTCTTAGATGCCAGCCCATAAGTAACAGCTTCTTACAATGATATATAACATGTAAATAAATGAATTGCTAACGTGCAAAATGACATTAAGAACTTACCAGTTAATTCGTGCTGAATCTCGAGAGGTGGAGTGTACAGCTGAAATGTGCATACTACCTCCCCTCTCCGTCTTCTGTCTAAAAAAGAAAAAATTAAATAAAATACCGAGTGTTTCGTTTTAGTTAAAATGAAATTTAGTGAAATACATAAGAAAATACCTCAAAACAGCAATTTTTAGTGTTACCGTGTCAAGAGAATTCACCGGTGAATTTCAGCAATCACACAGTCGCTTTGGTGAATGCCCGAAATATTTATTATATCTGATTGGATATTAATTTTTCAATGATATTATTATATTTATTCTATATTTTAATATCTGCAGAGGATAGGTTAGGAAAAGTCTTCGGAGTACCGCGGTTAAATGCATACTTGGCAGTGACATTTTTATATTTTATAACCGTCGTTGAACAGCCGATCCAATTTCATGGGTTTACGACTACTAATGTTCAACTCAGTAGCCTTGTCATTTTGAACTCAATCCTGAAGACAAGGGAACTCCTGGATCGGGTATTGAGAGAAATTTTGCCTTCGTGGAGGACTTTTTGATGGAACTAACCCGCATTTGCGTTGCATGGAGAGGGAGACCACGAGAACCTCCCACGGTTAGCCTGGCGGAAAAGGGGCTCTAACCCATGATCCGCCTACCACTAAGGATATTTCACCTCAGCACTGTGGTCGGTGCAAGCCAGATGCGTATCGATCAGCCATCGGTAGGATTCGAACAAGGTTCTCCTCATTGGAAGGCGAGTGCTCTTGAGCCATCACGTTTTGAACAGTGACACTTGATCTTAAGAAATATTGATTTAGGGCATACCGGACGTGCCACTTAACTAGACACTAGTATATATTTCGGACATTTACTAAGGCGACTATGTGATTGTCAACATTCACCGGTGGAAGTCAACAACCACTTATTTCTGTCATTTAGAGTAAAATATACATTCAATGGAAATGATTTCTTGTATGGCAAATAAAAGACCCGAGATATAAACAAGTTTAGATAATAAATTAAACACTTAAAATTAGTTTTTAGTTGCCATGAATAAAGTTTTTAATGTCAGAAAAGGGTTTAATTTCTGTCTGTATTAAAAAATTTTAAGGGATGACGCCGCTGCCCTAAGTGTTCAACTTAATAATACATATTGTTTTTCTGCGTATAAACTATAAAACTTAGAAAATTGAAATTGCAAATTCGTGTAGTAAAGCGTACTGTAGTTTGATAAAAATGCGCTGGTAGTATGATGGAATAAAGAAAATTACGTTCAATAATTAGTTCATTCAATACATTCAATAATTAGTATAATTAGTAGAAATTACATTCAATAATTACTATTTTTTTTGTAACCGTCAAAGAGCAGAAGTGTCACTTTTCGGGTTTATGACTAATAATGTTCAACTCCGCAGCCTTGTCATTTTGAACTCAATCCTGAAGACAAGGGAACTCCTGGATCAAGTATTGGGAGAAATTTGCCTTCGTTGAGGATTTTTTTTGGCGGAACTAACCAGCATTTACGTTACATGGAGAGGGAGACCACGAGAACCTCCCACCGATAGTCTAACGTCAAAGGGGCTCTAAGCCATGATCCGGCTACCACTAAGGATATTTCACGTCAGCATTCTGGTCGATGCAAGCCGGATGCGGAATTCGTATCGACCAGTCATCGGTGGGATTCGAACAAGTTTCACTTCATTGGAAGGCGAATGCTCTATCCCCTGAGCCACCGCGACTCTTCAAGAATTATTAGCTGTTAAACTTTTAATAAAACTGTCGAAATTCTCTGCAAACTGATTGATACTTTTTTTTTTATTATTACCAATGAGCTGCACAATCGGTCTTGCCGATGAGCAGACCTAGTGCGTTCTCCAGAGGTGGTATCCACTTTTTCAGGACCACCACAATGGGTGAGATACCGTTGATCATGTTAATTTGGACGTCTAGTTTCTGCCACACTAGATGGCAGCACCGAGACTCTATTTGGATGCTAAAGTGCACTAGGAATTTAATTTTGCCGGAAATGCCAAGAGCCAATGAGGCATTCCAGGGATCTTTTACATGCCGCATAATCATACGACATGGCCGCTGAGGATTTTCTGCATCCCGAAAATCCGGTGTCTGGGCCGGGGATCGAACCCGCAGACTTGGGCTCAGAAGGCCGACGACAAACCAACTGCCCCACCCAGCCACTCCTGATTGATACTACTATGCATGAATTCGCTATATTAAAGCTAAAAATAGATGATTAAATAATTTTTAATATAATATTTTACACTTATTCTTAATTTAATATTTATATTTAATTATAATATTTTTCACTTATTTATTTTGACCTAAACTAATGCAAAATAATAAAAAAAGTGTGAAAAATATGCTTAATAAAACTCTTCTGTTAATGGGTTAAAGACTGTTTTATTGCAATACAGTGTACTCTCGATATCTCAAAGATAAAGGGACGCTGAAAAAAGGTCGAGATAGCGAGTTTTCGAGATAACAAGATCTGGCTAAATATGTTCTAAAAAGTAGAGAAATATATTCTAAAAAGTAATCATGAAACATAAGAATTCACGATAGTTCTATATTGATAATTGACTATAATTCTAAATACAGCAATGGTAATTTTTAAAAGTAAGACAAAAATAAATCTATGCATTAAATGGAAAGGTTTGCTAAAAAAACTTACATTGTGATTTCTCCGAAAATATTTAATTTCCTATAACGAAAAGTATTTGACATAACAGGATTTTAAGAAGAAACTCTTCAAAATAGGAATTAACATTAACATTAGGTGGTTATGTGATGCCTAGGGGAAAAAATATTTTTTGACACATTTTCGAGATATAGAAATTCGAGATATCGAGAGTATACTGTATTTATTTTTCATTGATAAATGGAACTGTGGTATAAACTGGAATATTTTGGTTTTGATCCTTAATGTAAAAGAAAACATTTATATAACTTTATTTTCATGTTCAAACTTTTGCGTTCGAAAACTCTATTTCTTAGGCCTAACTATAAAAAAAATAACTAATTAGTGCACTCGATGTTTTAAATTACGACAGGAAAAGCTTCTTTCTCTGAATAAATACAATTTTTTTTCTTGCGGTCTTGTATTTTCATACTCTTATAATGATAAAGGATACCTGAAAAATATGGGCCCAATAATAGTAGAAAAGTGGATAATAAATGTTAACTTTATTTTTTATATGTTGTGACAGCTCTAATTTTTTTAAATTTTTATTTCTCAAGAAAAATTTTACCAATTTCTTTCAAATTAGAGATTTTGTCATTTAGATTAAATGGGTTTTTTACCCAACAACTCATAAAATTTGTGATTTTTGGACCATTATTAATTTAAATCATAAAGATAATAAATAACTATGAAGGAAACATTTTATTAAATCGAATTTGCTTTGAATAAATAAATTTTATAATGGTGCTGGATATTTTTTTTTCATTCATTTTGTAGAATGCAGTAAAGTACGCAAAAAATGAAATCAACTTCCCTGACTTTCTATCGTTTTTATGTTAGGTTTATATAGATGGCGCTTCTATAATTTGAGGATCAAGAATCGAAATACATCGAAGAAAAGGCTTGCTTACACAGAGAAAGTATGTTTTTGGTCTGATTTTTTAACTTAAAACATCACTTGTATTAATTAACATGCATATTTAAGGTTAAGCCAAGAAGAATGAGTTCTAGTACTTGAAAATTCGATTATTACATTAAAAATTGTTTAAGTGCTTGCCCTTAAATACCATTAATATTTTTTTTGAAAAGTCATTTTATCAAATTACAATATCTGTTGTTTATCTAGACAATATTACAATATTTGTTGTTTATCTAGACAATATTACAATATTTGTTGTTTACTAGAAAGAAGGAGGGCGTAAAAAATTCAACTAAGGGATAAAGCGTTCGCCTCCTATTGGTGTGAACCGGGTTCGAATCCCTGCGATGGCTGGTCTATACGAATTCCGCATCCGACTTACACCGACCACAGTGCTGACGTGAAATATCCTCAGTGGTAGACAGATCATGGGTTGGGGTCCCCTTGGCGTCAGGCTAACCGTGGAAGGTTCTCGTGGTCTTACTCTCCATGTAACGCAAAGACGGGTTAGTTACAGCGAAAAAAGCCCTTCACGAAGACAAATTTCACCCAATATTTGATTCAGGAGTTTCCTTGTCTTCTGGATAGGGCTCAAAATTACAAGGCTACGGAATTGAACAGTAATAGTCGTAAACCAAAAAAAAAAAAACGGGTCGCCTGTTCAACGACGGTTATAAGTTAAGTCTTAAGTTAATTAGTCTTATTACAATTTCTTAATTAATTATGGTAATAGCGCTATGATAATAGATACCTTATATACTATTATAGGTACTGAGAAAATATTATAAGTTGTAGTCTTTATTCATCAATTGATTCAGACAGAAGGTGGAATTTATGAAAATTTTCATAATCAATATCAAGACTAATTTCATGACTCTTATCCAGGTTATCCGATATTATGAAATCAGAAAATTAAGAGGAAATTTTTATTTCAAATGAATAAACATTGCTTGTTATGCATTTTTAATTAGATAATAATTAAACTGATTAAAAGATATGAAATGCTTACTTCATTCGACGACTATCTATAGAAGAAGTGCGATTGAGCTTTGTGATTAATATTCGAACTATATTTACCATAAATACACTGTTTACCTGCAAAATAAAAGAGATTCATTGACTTAAGATAAAGAAAAATGGATAAAAATAATACAGAAATGCTTGTAGTTCTTTCACCAGGAGTTGGTACTTGGTTCCGGCTTCATCACGTGGTATCCGACGATACTATTTCGTTAATTTTGGGAAAAAGATGTGTACACTCCTGAACAAGGTTGCTATTTGGTGATCGTACGACAAAAATATTTATTTCTCAATCTTTATGCGCATTTTTTTAACATTATTTATTTCATAAATTTGATGATATTTCTCTCTTTCGAGTGAATAGTTTGCCTTTCTTGAGACATTTTGCTGCAATATATTGAATTAGCCAGAGTAACGAAAGGCATAATAGCAGATGATAAAGCGAAGTAAGTGACTGAAAAAAGAATTCACTGTTTGCGTTTGGTGCGCATTAAGGGTTGTCTCAATTTCAAGCGCGGAGACGTTTCTCCACTTACTCCCGTGGTGAAAGGAACTCTTCGTCATAAGAGGTGGAGTCAAGTGCCAACTCCTGCTGAACGAACAATACTTCTGATTGATTTTTACTCATAGGTATAGAAAAACACGCCATTCAATGTTTTTATACTTGTAGTGTTCATAATACTACTATTTCTTTCAATGAAACGAATAACAAATGTATTTTGGAAGACCTCGCAAGCACACTATGATGCAACCCAAAAAATAACAACCGGCAATATTTTACACAATTATAGCCAAATAAGGGATAACACTTAAAACGTGATAAACCTTAAACTTGTGAATGTTGTGATATTAGTTTTCTTAAATTCGTTTTCTGCTTACGACCTGCTGGAACTTATAAATTACTTAAAACTCTTATGAATGGTAAAATTTTGAATAAATTTGATAAAAAATCACAATAATAAAAAATCCTAGAGCAGGGATGGCAAACCAATAGCACGCGTGCCATTTATGGCACGAGACATAATATTTTGGGCACTCCACCGATCACAATTGTTATTACACTGTGAATTGTTATTACATAATTATTAAATTCACAAAAACTAGCAAAATAATAAACAACTATTAATAAAAAATTAACAATTAATGCTAAAAAAAACAATTATTAACCATAAAAAAAACAAGCTAACAATAAATAACTAGCAAAAAAAATTAACAGTCCTTCTTAAACTAACATCTTACAACCTAATATAAGTAATTTGTCATCTATTTTTTCTTCTATGTATATAAAGAGTTTTGAGTTGATAGTATTTAGTATTATTATTTTCCCAATAATCACGAAGTCAAAATCATTTGACCTCATTAAACAATTTTTTAGAGAAAATGGCGCGTTGGTGTATAAAGGTTCTCCACCCCTGTCCTAGAATATTAAGCCTGTTCACACATCGCCTCGTAAGTATAACATATGCGGAGGAATACACCGGAAGTTTTCTAAATGTCTTCCGGTCTTAGATAGTTTGTTACTGTTTGCACTCAGTGAATCATCCATACGCATCGTGTAAAATAACCATTGACTATCAAAACTCGAAATTTCAATAAAATACAATAAGAATGTTTCGATTACATAACCAAAAGAACTAGAAAATATTTTTCATGGAGGTCTGGTTCGGACGGGCTTGTGGTTCGAAACTAATTGCATATGACTTGGACTGCGAGTGTTGATTTGTTTGGAAATCACGTGAACAATGACGAAAATTTTCTCTCAAATAAAAGATCAGTTACAAATCGTGACGTGAACATTTAAAAAATTTAATATGTAGAATATTTTCACTTAAATCTAAAAACAAATGTGTATATTGGTCCGAGCATTACCTCAAATTTTTTTTTTTTTGGTATTTATAAAACAAAAGGAAAATTTAAAAATGAATGCATTGAAAAAACTTTTGAGGAGACCCTTTAAAAAAGGGGGTGGAACAAGTGGACTTACCAATAAAGCAATAACCATAGGTCCGGTCAAAATCCAGACATATATGGATTTCCCATATCCTCTCCAGCAGGGTGTGTGCAGCTTGCAAGACATAATAAATGCCCAAGACGATACGAAAATTAACGGTAGCCCTAAAAAATGTACACATTATATATTATAAAATAATTATAATAACCAGTTCTAAAAATATGCATCCGTAATACCATGAACAGTGCGAAAAATAAAAAACGGACCACCCAGAATAATAAATTTCATCTAATGATTGGATCTTCAAATTCTAGGATTTAGTCTCAACAGCTCGAGGGGTGACCACAAATAGGCTAATTACTAGGTGCAAGCGATATTATAAGTTACGAAATCAGAACGTGACAAACCTTTCTCTGAATGGGCATACTTTTTTCAGGATACAATACGGATTTCGGACCCCCAAAATAAAAGGGGTAGCCGTAATCTGTGAAATAAGGATCCCTAAAGTTTGAAACCCTAAATAATAATTTATTTTTGCATAATTTTTCATGAGAATTTTTTAAACGAATTAAAAAAAAAAATTCACACAATTATGAAATTCGTTTATCCCTAGATAATTCCAAGCAAAAGATAACTTTTAGTAAATGTTTATGACTTTTTTTCATTTTAATAATATTCGAAAACTTTTTGAATTGTAAATTATAAAATTTTTTGTACCATTTTAACGAATGTAATTTTACGTAGCTAAATACGAAATTTAAGCGAAATCGGTCGAATAGTTCCTGAGAAATCAAATTTTAAAGAAGGCGCATGTTTAAAATTCGATTTCTCCGGAATTATTAGATTATTTTCGTTCAAATTTCGTTTAGTCATTTTCAAAATGCGTTCTATTAAATGATTTAAAAAATCGTACTCCCTTAGATTCAAAATTTTTTCGACTATTATTTAATAAAATAATAAGAAAATTATAAATATTTAGTAAAATATATATTTTGCATAGAATTATTTTGGGATAAACTAATTTTATTATTGTGTGCAAAAGAATTTCAATTCGCTTAAAATACGGCAATAGATGATATGATAAGGCAATAAGGCAATGTACGCAAAAAATAAAATTAACATTTAAGGGGGCAGACTTTAGAGCAATCTCTTAACCAAACAATGTGGAGGACTATGTCTCCTAGATTGCGGGGTCAGAAATTCGAATCCGACAAGAAAAAAATAAATTAATAACAATAAAAAAATTAAAAACAGAATAAAAAAGAGTTAAGTTTATTAGGAGAAATTATGTTTTTATATCTGATTGCGTAACTTAAAATACTGTCTGCACTTATTAATTAGCATATCCGAGGTCCGCCCCTTCGAACCATTAAGATTAAGTTCTAGAATGTGAGGATCGAAAGTTATTCAAGGTGGTCCGTTTATTTATTTACCTACTTTACATCCTTAGGTTGATTTAACTCCATGCCATGTTGCCCGAATCCAGTTCGCGCAATTACCACGTGCAGTATTTGTGATGCCCGAACGAGAAAAATTAACGTTTCTATTTTGTGAAGCCCGAGCTGAGTTCCTTTCTTCTTTAGGATGCTTAATTCAATATTTTCTTAATAAATGACATTAGTAGTCCTAGTTTTTCACCTATTACGACTTCAGTCGAGGGAGGGAAATGTGGGTGGGGTTTTTGGGATATACCATACTGTAAAAGATTTGTAAAATTTATGTATTGAAAATAATATTGTTTGAGTTTTTATATTATATTATACTAGTTATATTATATTTAGCTTCAAAATTTCGTTTCTAATTGAGAAAGATGTGTGTGTAATCCCATTACTTTTTTAGGTGTCTGTAAAAATTATAAATACAGTAGTTAGTGCATTTAAAATTTTATTTTTGTAATAAAAAACCATTTTCTAACTGTTATAATAATGTAAAGAAAAAAATTAAACAGTCAAATTTTTTTTCCATTTTTGGATTACTTTTTTGAAATATATGTCACTGTTAAAAGGTTAATCATTTTTAACATGGCTAGACTTTAAGTTTGAAACTGGAATTTTAAAAAAGAATGAAATAAAGAGAAATAGCTTTTAGGCAAAACGGCCTGATGATTTTCCGCATAAATACATCTTTAAATTTTTTATATATATATTTCTAGGGTTTCTGATGTTATAAATTGATTTGGAACTTATTTTCCCCGCAATTAGATCGACGGGTCAGAGAATAATTTAATCTTAGAGTTCTTTCCTTCAGTAACATTTTTTATTTCTTTGTGACAAGGGAATTCTAAAAATTGAGTTCCTACAAATGAAGCAAAACTTTTACTTTTGGGCTGCGTGTAAGGAGTGGTTAAAATATTATGTAAGCACCTAAGAGAGTTTGAGCTTTGTTTATTTTAATCGACAATGAGCAATGTTAGCATTACACAATAAATTTCATTAAAATGGAAAAATAGTCAACTCCGATATAGTGAACATTTTGCCGACTTAGCAACAGGTGTACTTTAAGAGATGGCTCACTCAATCCAGAATTTTTGAAAAAAATAATTTTTTTTTAGCCTACTTCTGTTGCATTGTTGGGTAAAGTGATTATGTTACCATGAATGACAGAAATCAAGAAAATGTCGACTTTCACCGGCGAATGTCAACAATCACATAGCCGCTTTGGGTGAATGTCCAAAATATTTGTTATATCCAATTTGATATTAATTTATTCGTTAATATTATTATATTTATTCGATATTTTAATATATGCTGAGGATAGATTAGGAGAAACGTCAATGTTCGGAGTGCCGGTTAAATGCATACTGGGCAGTGGCACTTGAAAAAAACATCAGTGTAGGGCATACCGGGCAATTGTATACCGGATGTGATTGTCAACATTCACCGGTGGAAGTCAACAACCACCTATTTCGGTTATTCTCTGTAACATTTACACCCTTAGGGATATTTGCCAGATAAAAATACTATAGGATATTCCAATATAATTTTGCCTATGGTAACTAATGGGACAAATTTGGAATAAGCGTGTGGCTAGTTTTTGCCCAAAGTCACATTTTTACCTATAATTGCGTAAATAAAATCTGCATATGGCAAAAATTCGTATGTGGAAAAAAATGTTTGGGAATACGCCGAATTACACTTGAAATATTTTCTATGTATCGAAATAGTTGTTTTCACGTAATAAATTTAGAACCTTTTTAAATGTTCGTAATTTTATTTCTTTTTAAAAATATTGCACTAAAAAGTTGATTCTTTCATGTGCTACTCAAATTATTCAATACCTATTTTAAACACATCTCTGCAATGTGTATAATCCATTTTCAATTAAAAATCATAATTATTATACATTTTAAATTCGACAAAAATTGTGCTACATTTATTTAAATTCCAGCACTACAAATGAATCAATGATAATTTTTTTAGCTGCATATGAAATAACATTAGAAATAACATGCATATTTAATAACATAACCAGGAACACTAAAACCTTCACTACAACCGATTATTTACTATATCCTGGGTTCGTTATATCAGAATTGGACTGTAATTATACTGTAATATGTTTTTTGACTATTTAAAGATAAAAATAATTCAAGTTAAACGAAGCACATTTTTATATTATTTTTTTCAGTGCATTATAAAAAATGCTTTTTCGGTATTGTAGTAGTTTTTTTTAAAGAAATTAAAAAGTTTCGAAAATAAGGAAATTAAAATGGAACACTTGAACTACGTAAACAAATTACATTTTGTTAATCCGAAGGAAGGTAACATATTCTAAAGAAAAAAGTCATTTTTATGAAAAATGTCAAGAAAGAAAAAAAGGTAGAAGATTAAGAAAATTTTTCCTAAAAAAAAATCCTGCTTTCGGGAAAATATTATATATCTCACAAAATGGAAAACATAACACCTATGAACTCATTTTAAACTTTTTTCTCTTTGGGGGGCACTCGACAATAGCTATTTCAACTTATCTCACTAAAATGCTAGAAAAAAAAATCGTGTCTAAAGCAAGTTTTTTCCTTACTCGCGTTATCTATTTATTTTCTCTTTCTTTTTTACCACGTTACGTTTTAATTTTTTTATACATATTTTTTGTAGATTTACTTTAAAGCTTATCAAATAAATTTTTCAAAAAGAAACAACTTATTTCATTAATTACATAGTAGTTCATTACCCAAAATATCAAAATACGCAAAATAAAAATCGGAACACCCTGAATAACTTTTGATATCATGATCGGATTTTCACGTACTAGGACTCAATCATAATGGTTTCAGGGGGTGACTTTAAAAATAAGACTATAATTCAAGTTATAAAATCTGACAGAAAAATTCATTGTCTCTGAACAAACATATCTTTTTTTCGTCTGATTTGGATTCTCTAGAATCAAAATATCCATATATATATGGTCCAGGTTTCACAAGCATGTGTTAAAATTACCAACCATACCTGGACTATATCTTGTACGAATGAGGTTATGTTGCGTACCTTTGAGAGAAAGATCTGGATAAGTATTTTTGGAGGAATTAAGAAAAAATGGCTTGTGGCTTAGAGCTTTATCACTCATATAATGAACCTGACATTATTAACTTTACTAAACGACAAAGAATAAAGTGGGCAGACCACGTTATCAGAATGGCTGAAGGCCGTGTCACAAAAAGAGTTTTCAATGCTAGGCTAGTTGGCACACGAAAAAGAGGCAGGCCGAATTTGAGATGGATAGATGGTCTAGAAAAATACTTTTTGGTTCGGAAAGCACTAGCAGGAAATAGGTTAGCCTGGAAAAAAAATTATTGAAATGACCTGGATTGTCGAGCCATTGATGATGATGACACATGCAAATACTTTACCCCATCCGATGAGATAGTAGAGCTTGAATGGCGCATCTTGTTTGAAAACTGATACAGTGATTCTGCTGTGAAGTAATAGTCCTTCCACAAACATCCAATTGATACTGGCCATTGCAGAATACATCTTGATGCACATCAGAAGCTTGCACAGCCACTCCTGCAACACAATTATTGTTTTCAATTTTTTTAAAAACAATTTTACCTATTTGTGTCACCAAGACCATTGTTATATAGGATTATCATCCCCGATTGCATGTACGAGAGTTGTTTTTTTAAGTACATGCCGTTTCGTTGTGTACACTAAATGGTGACACCTGGTTGTGTCGTGTCCCGGGAGCAACTGAGCACAGTTGCAGCTGTGTAGGTAAACTGTACGGTAACTCCTCCCTTTTATTACACATTATTCAAAAAAATGACTGAAAAATATCATGTAGTAGCAAAAATGTATTACTTTTTATTACTCTTCGTCTTGCGTACAAAAAAAAATTTGTAATCTTTAGCTGATGAGCAATCCTCAACATCTGACATGGAAACACTTCCCAACTCTCAGATAATTTTTCCTGAATTTCTGATATTCCGCTTTTTAAACCTATCTAACCTGCCATTCAAGCTCATAAAAAAATGTCTCATAAAATCACTTAACAAATTCAGTCAAAATAGTTTATATTCCCTGCAAATATCAGATTGATTGCACCCATTTTCAATTTTTCTGATTATGCTCATTTTGTCATCAATGAAGAATATTTTACCTTTACTGCTCGCCATAGTTAAATTTAAGACACTTGTTTGCAAGCTTTTTTTTAACTGAACTGAGAACAAAAAGGAGTTGAAATTAAGGCCTTATTAACACATATTAGTGTCCAACCCTTTGACCAATAATGAATAATTACTTATTCCCTCTGACAGAAAATGCATATTGATCCAACTGACATCTTACAGGTGCATCATCTGCCTGGGTTGGAAACATCTGCTTGGTTCAACATCTGCTGGTTTGTTTAGGGATGGGAAAGTGAGATAAAAGAAGTAAATAAATAAAAAATGCTTATCTCTACATTCCCCTCTATAGATGGTTTTAAAAATCGGTATATGTATTTATTTTGAAGTAGAAATCTCAAAATTATTATAAAAAAAAGTGAAGAAAAAATTCAGTCAAAGACAGAAAAAAGTTCATTATATCCAACTACCTCACTTTCTTGGTTCACTATATCCACAAAATATAAAATTATGCGTTTATAGCAAGGCACGGGACCGAACATTTCGTTCACAATAAACCGTGTTCACTATAGCGGGGTTTGACTGTATTTGAAGTTTATCAGAGGTAAGCGGTAATCTATTTGTATATATAGCGTTGGCAGTAACAATATAAATAATCAAATTATATTATCAACCAATTATATAATCAAATTATGCAATGACATCATCTATAAATCTGAAGTCATGTCTAATTAAAAATCGCAGCATTTTTTTCTCAGTGAAGTAAAAAGAGGTTAGCAATAATGCTTGTGAATACAGTACCTTGGTGTCTGCCAACAATCTGTAAAAAGTCAACCTTCATCGTTAAATACAAAATTAATAAAAATACAGAAAACAATAATGTTTTTGCCAATTCATGTAACGAATATTTCTAATATCAATGTTTGTACTTTCAATTCAAATAGTATCTGATTGAATATGTTTTTTTTTCTCCATAACTCCATGATTATTTTATTTTATTATATGCTAAGCATACTGTTCATTTTTTTTTTAACATTGGCACACTACTATGTTTGCTAAATCGATATTAAAACATGAAGAAAAAATTTGGCAAACATACCACTTCTGTGTAGTTAGGCAATGAAGTTTGGAAGATGACAGTTGATGGAATGATCATGAGTAACACAGAATGAATGATGAGCGACACAGCAAGATTGCGATGAACACGAAGGCGAGAACAGTGCAATGATCTACAAAATACACAACAGCCTAAATTCTTCATATATTTATTTATAGCTCATGTTCAGATAACAACCAATTTCTATTGTCTTACAATGTACTTATTTTTATTTTTTTTACCCATTGACAAAACTGGTTTTGTTTTGGGTTTGATGGCGTGCTCATCTTATTTGGACGTCATCACACTTTTCAACTGTTTTCAAGAGTAATAATAAACAGTGCGCATGCGTCTTCATTGCGTGCGTTGCTATGGCGACCGCTGCTGTTTCATGATTCTTTTTGAATTCTTTTTTTCACTTTTAATTTTGTCATGCATTAAGTTGGGGAGTTTATTTTTGAGATAGAATGCCAGAGAGTTTAGGATATTTATTTCATACTTCTAAATATTAGTTTAGGGTATTAGTTTAATCATCCCATAAATACTTCTTGAGTTGTAAATAAAAGAGAATTATATTCTTTTTGTTTTATTTTAAATAAGAATCGGAAATTCTGACCTACAGGTAAAACTATATTGTTTTCAATACTAATTCAGGTGAATATCGCAAATAAAGAGGATCCCAAACTGCTTGACATGGTCCCAAAGATTAGAGTTTTCCTTTTTATTTTCACCAGCTGGCATCTTTAATGTATTTACATCGTAGTAATTTTATATATTTTTATATTCTTTTTATTTTTAACTTATAATTTCTGCCTTGACAGTGATTTTAATGAAAATATGAATACTTAAGAAGGAAAAGCATTTTGTGACGCCTTAAAACGCATATATTGGCAGGATTTGAAAACCAATAGGACGACAAACATCAATTGAGACAGTTTTAGCAATCCATAATTCGAAATGTTGTAGCGTTTATCGGAGACAATTCAGAAAAAAAGCATTTGACCAATGTGTGATTGTAATAAGAAGATCACAATTTTTTTTCTTCTTAGGAATAATCTACTGTTCAGATATCTCCTTCTGTTACTAGGCAACCGAGAAAAAAATTCTCGTTGATACTAAACCTGCACTCCACTGATGCTAAGCAACGTATTTGTATGAGAAGAAACTAGCCATAAACACGATCAGAACATTTTTAAAATCAGATGTGTAATAAAGAATAATTTTACACATACCACCTAGAAATGTCGAAGTTAAGTTGAGGAAAAAAACGATAAGTGACCCTTCATTCAGTATTAAGAAAATTAGCTTTAATGTGTACAGATATATCATGTAACAGTTAAGAATTATTTTTCCAATTTAATACCAATTGTCATGTTTTTTTAAAATTGAAAATTTCAGTAGTTTATAAGGTTCTCAATAAAACCGATGATAGAAATACTAGAATTTATACTATTTAACCTAGTAATTATAAAAATTAGAAAAACATTATTAAATTTAACAATAATTAACCAGCAATTTCAATAAATAAATAAACAAAAATGTGATACTCACTTAAAATAGCAGAATATTAGTAAAGTGATGAGAAGGGCAATGATAGATATGAAAGAACATATGAAGAGAATATAACAGACCGTTAAGTGACCAACTTCAGTCTCCTAAAAATATATATTCAGATCTTATCATTTGCAAAATATTTCTCTTATCTCATTATAGTACTATGTATCCCATCTAATTGAAATATATCGTATTATATATCCTATCTAATAAAAATATGTTGTATTATATATCCCATCTAATAAAAAATATATCGTAGTATGTATTCCATCGAATAAAAGTATATCGTATTATATATCCCATATAATAAAAGTATATCGAATTATACATCCCATCTAATAAAAATATGTTATTTATTGTATGTCCCCGACCCGCCCATCTATGGGCATACGGGAGGATATATAAAAATAATAAAAATATGTTACATTATATACCCCATCTANGAAATTATTTCATAAAAGAAATACTAGGTTACTATCAGTAACCTAGTATTTCTTTTATTACTGTATAATGTAATCCTTGCAACTACTAATTCATTGTGCAATTTATATAAATGTTTGCAATAAATAAGAGAAAATTATGTTTTTATTTATTTAGAAGCTACGGGTTAGTTTCAAAGGAGGGCGGGTTCATTGTTGGACAAGCCTTCCTCGGGGACATGTAAAATTTCTGAGTTTTTTCGAGCCCTGGTTGTATTATATATCCCATCTAATAAAAAAATATATCGTAGTATGTATCCCATCGAATAAAAGTATATCATATTATATATCCCATCTAATAAAAATATATCGTATTCTATATCCCATCCAATAAAGGTACATCGAATTATATATCCCATCTAATAAAAATACGTTACGTTATATATCCCCTCTAATAAAAATATATCGAATTATTTATCTCTTCTAATAAAAGTATATCGTATTATATATCCCATCTGATAAAAGTATATCGAATTATATGTAATATCTAATAAAAATATGTTATATTATGTATCTCCACTATTAAAAATATATCGTATTATGTATCCCATCTAATAAAAATATACCGTATTATATATCCTATCTAATAAAAATTATTTTTTGCATAAATCTACAAGAATAAATCTCTTTTTTAAATAAATTTTGGAAAACATGAAACCAGAGATTTTGTTATAAAAACCAAAATGAAATAAATCAAAATTCGAATAAATATCATATAAGATGCTTTCGTACCAAAACTAACCTCATTCAAATTTTACACCATAATATTGCTCAGACTCTAACGATACCTAAACAATGGTATTTTTTTTCCATTGGAGTTAAAATGAACAATACAAAAGAAAAAAAAACTTTCTCGTAAAGTTTGTTAATAAATCTTCACTTTGGTAAAAGTATTTCTTAGTATAAATTTAAGGTGATTAATTTCGAACATTTATGATTATAGGAATAAATATTTTGAGTCTCAAAAATATTTAAACAGTAAAAATGAAAAATAATCATTTTTATAACCATTCGTTAAAATCAGCTTTAATTCCTGTTGAGTAAATTTTCAGAAAGTTTCATAGCCTTGTTTATTCCGTGAAAGGCCAAGTGAGTGTGGCATTTTTTTTCTTTACAAAATGCTAATATTAGGAGAAGAAATTTTAAGAATAAATTATAATGGGACAAGAAACGGAAATTTAATGTAACGGAAATTTAAGGTGGTATTTTTCTAATGTTCCATATAAAATAGGACCATGAATTATTCAATTTTATTTGAATAAATTGCGAGAAGAAAAAAAAGAACTTTAGATTTTTACTGTCCGATAAAATTTACATTTCCGACAGTGTTATGAAATAAAGCAATATATATAAAAAAATACTTTTACTAAGTTTGTTTACTTCGAATAATGCATTTTTTTCCCTATATCCTTCAAAAGAAAGTTATTTTTATTACTATCTTTAAAGCAAACGTAAAAGTTTATATAAGTTTTAATAATTGAATTTAATTCCTATTATAACTATTAATTTAAACCATTTGGATTGACGTTTAATTTTTCTAGCGTATTGTTGCTAAATTGAAATGCTGCTGTTATATATATGTTACCGTAAAATGATCGAAATAGGTGGTTGTTGACTTTCACCGGTGAATGTCGACAAACACCAAATACGTAGGTGAAAGATCGAATATTTCATTACATTCTTGTACATTCGGACCCTCACCGGTGTAAGTCAACAATCACATAGTCGATATGGTGAATGTCCAAAATATTTGTTATATCCAATTTTATATTAATTTATTCGTTGATATTATTATATTTATTTGATATATTTATATTTATTCTGTATTTTAATACTTACTGACTAATAGATTAGAAGTAACATCAGTGTTTGGAGTATTGGGCAAATATATACCGGGCAGCGGCACTTAACCTTAAAAAAACATCAGTGTAGGGTATACCAAGCCACTTAAGGTTAAGTGCCACTGCCCGGTATACCCTACACTGATGTTTTTTTAAGGTCAAGTGCCATTGCCCGGTATATATTTGCCCGATACTCCAAACACTGATGTTTCTTCTAATCTATCGTCAGTAAGTATTAAAATACAGAATAAATATAAATATATCAAATAAATATAATAATNTCTGCGTCAAAGAGTTAAGAGTTATTTATCCTCAATAGATATTAAAAAATCAAATAAATACGATGATATCAACGAATAAATTAATATCAAATCGGACCTAACAAATATTTGGTACATTCACCAAAGCGACTATGTGATTGTGGACATTCACCGGTGAATGTCGACATTCTCTTGATTTCGGTTATTCACGGTAACAAGTAAAATGCTAAATACAATATTTTTTGACTTATTTTGACCTAAATTAATACAAAATTATGAGAAAAGTGGGAAAAATATGTTTAATGAAAATTCTGCGTCAAAGAGTTAAGAGTTATTTATCCTCAATAGATATTAAAAAATCAAATAAATACGATGATATCAACGAATAAATTAATATCAAATCGGACCTAACAAATATTTGGTACATTCACCAAAGCGACTACGTGAATGTGGACATTCACCGGTGAATGTCGACATTTTCGAGACTTCGGTCATTCACCGTAACATATATATATATATATATATATATATGTTACCGTAAAATGACCGACATTGGTGGTTGTTGACTTCCATCGGTGAATGTTGACAATAACATTGTCGCTTTGGTAAATGTCCGAAATATATACCAGGTCTAGTTAAGTGCCATTGCTCGGTATGCCTTACATCAATGTTTCTTAAAGGTCAAGTACCCCTGCCCAGTATGTATTTAACCGGTACTCCGAACTCTGATGTTTCTCCTAACCTCGGCAGATATTAAAATATCGAATAAATATAGTACCAACAAATAAATCATAATCAATATTTCGAACAGTCACAAAAGCGATTATGTGACTGTTGATATTCACAGGTGAAAGTCGACATTCTCTTGATTTCAATCATTCACGGTAACATAGGTGATAAAAGTTGTGGCGTCGCTGCTGTATGGATCATTATTTCTTACGAAGCGAACTGAAGTGGATATTCACAGTATAAATGTTGCGGCACGAATTCGATACTTGCCTTTTTCTATGTTATTCTTCTTCAAGAGCTGTATTGAACGAGAACACGCTGGCCGTGTAGAATCTGTTTTGTTTAGCTTAAATAAATGTTTTTTCTTCAGGTGTTTACTAGAGTCTTATTTCCTGAACGCAGGATAATTCCAGAGTTCGTGTCTAGATGAAACTACAAAAAGTCATAGGATAACTCTATGTACAGATAGACAGGAGTATCGCGTACAAAATGTAAAGGTGCACTGTACGAACTTTCATTTGCATTCAAGTTATTCAGCTGAGAATGTTTCTGAAGTAATTATTACCCAGACGGAAATTGCGAGAAAAAATCCTCAGCGTCAAGAGTGTGCCGAAATTGTTCAGGCATAACCTCCACACCATTCCCAACGTAGTGAGTAACATACTGTGCAGCCCATTCTATCGAACAACATATAAGGGCAATTACGTAGAACCGCATGTTATTCTGGATCTATTATAGGGCCACATAGATTAATATAGAGAAGAGTTGCCTGAATCGTACTATCTCTCATCACGCTTTAGCGGATAAATTTTGTTTCACATGAAGATCCATGCAATAGAATCAAGTAGCAACGTACTTGCTAGCATTAAAATTTTATTAAGTTTATCGGTTTTGTAGGTTTTATCATCCTGCTTGGTGATATTGAAGAAATGCAATAATGTACCTATTAGTTATTACATCATATAATTGTAAATAAACTTATTCTTTCATATTCTATTTGATAATTAACACTTGTTTGAGATGGCACTTAGTATAAAATGTCACATAGTTGCCTAAATCATATATGTACTGCAATCCTACATAGTACCACTATTATTTAAGAGTAACGTATCGCCTTTAACTATTAAACAGATCTAGTTTAAAGATATTTATGGTGTTTTTCAAAAAAACTACAGAAAAGTGGACGAAAACTAATTCTGAGCTGAACTTCCCCCGTTGTCGAAATTTTTTATCTCCTAAGTAAAGATTGAAAAAAAAGACTGCGACAATTAAGAACAATACTGAAGACTTTTAATATAAGTGACTTTTTGACAGTAGATACTTTAAATGATACGAAAACGAATCAGAAAAAAATTTTTTTTACTTCAGTTAGTTGAAGGAAATTTAATCTCCTTATAAAGCGATTTATTTTCCCTAATGCAAGGATAATCCTCAGGGATGTTTCCCAGACCGCGCAGATGTCATAAATGAAAGTACCACTACCCTATTAATAGGAATATAAAAATTATTTAAAAAAAACAACAACTAAGTGATGATCCTTCTGGTTAATCAAGTTGTGATCTTGTAATTGCTAGTTAGTGATGTGATTTCTTCTGAACATATGATATCTTAATTTTACACTTATAAAAATGCTTAAAACATAATCAACGAAAACCTAGTCAACGAGATTACGCGGGTAAATATATTCAACCACTCAGATTCTCATTCGCATCTCTTGATGCAATCATACGAATTTCTCGCACGTCATTTATATTGCAATCGATTGCCCGAGAAATACGTGTGAATGTTAAGAAACTACATGTAAAACAAACTTCTAAAGCATGAACCAAACGCATTTGCGGAAGACCGCATATGTAATCACATGACCTGAGTATCGCAAACAGTTCTAGGAAGTGCAGATTGTAATAGAACATGTCTGACACATGCAGTGAGCATGCTCATTTAGACTTAAATGTAGAAAGAGTGCTAATTTTAACAAAAACGCAAATTTAAATAAATCAGATTCATGCATGCGCAATCAGTTCCACTTATGTAGATTATAAAGTTGAGCAAACATCTAACTGTATTTAAAGGGGTTCATATAGAGAACAACTTATTATTCTTTTAAAATCTTTTAGCATGAGATATATATTTATCATAAATGAAGGAATTCATAAGCATATATTATTTAATAATATTTTAAAGAGATACTACAAAATGATTAAATATCAGAGTTAAGATTTCCTTGAAAACATAAAAAACAGCAATTTAATTTTTTTTTTAATATTTTTTTTTCTATATTCTCAGACCAGCTGTCTCAAAAATTCCTCATAATACATATATGATAAGAGAAAGGTTAAAAATTCTAAAAAAAACTAACACTTATGCAAGTTATTGTCTATTTGGATAAAAAGGAATTGCTCTTCAAGACTATCTAAATATTATTAATCATTTACCGGACATTTTAATAAGTTTTTACATTTTATTGGATCAAAAGAATGCATTTAAGGGGGTCATTTGGGGGACAGTTTAATAATTTCTTATATTTTTTTTGGATCACGAGAGAACTTTCGCATTAATTTCAAATCATTGCATAGGTGTCAAAATTTCTAAAAATATATACATATGCTGAAAAATATTTATTAAACATATTTAAAAAAAACTTTTATTTTGTCCGTGTCAACCTACATTATTAGCACAGGTGTCGTTAAAATCGATAATGACGCAGATATGATATGAAAAGGGTTAGGAATAATGTTTTTGGCCTACTTTTTAGGTAGACTATTGTCTATTTCTGTTATTGACATTATTCTCCTTTGCATTCTAATTAATATTAAATACTGCATTCAAGGAGGTCATTTGGGGGACAGTTTAATAATTTTTTATATTTTTTTAGATCACGAGAGAACTTTCGCATTAATTTCAAATCATTGCATAGGTGTCAAAATTTCTAAAAATATATACATATGCTGAAAAATATTTATTAAACATATTTAAAAAAAACTTTTATTTTGTCCGTGTCAACCTACATTATTAGCACAGGTGTCGCTAAAATCGATAATGACGCAGATATGATATGAAAAGGGTTAGGAATAATGTTTTTGGCCTACTTTTTAGGTAGACTATTGTCTATTTCTGTTATTGACATTATTCTCCTTTGCATTCTAATTAATATTAAATACTGCATTCAAGGAGGTCATTTGGGGGACAGTTTAATAATTTTTTATATTTTTTTAGATCACGAGAGAACTTTCGCATTAATTTCAAATCATTGCATAGGTGTCAAAATTTCTAAAAATATATACATATGCTGAAAAATATTTATTTAACATATTTAAAAAAAACTTTTACTTTGTCCGTGTCAACCTACATTATTAGCACAGGTATCGCTAAAATCGATAGTGACGCAGATATGATATGAAAAGGGTTAGGAATAATGTTTTTGGCCTACTTTTTAGGCAGACTATTGTCTATTTCTGTTATTGACATTATTCTCCTTTGCATTCTAATTAATATTATATACTGCATTTAAGGGGGACATTTGGGGGACAGTTTAATAATTTCTTATATTTTTTTGGATCACGAGAGAACTTTCGCATTAATTTCAAATCATTGCATAGGTGTCAGAATTTCTAAAAATATATACATATGCTGAAAAATATTTATTAATCATCTTTCAAAAAACTTTTATTTTGTCCGTGTCAACCTACATTATTAGCACAGGTGTCGCTGAAATCGATAGTGACGCAGATATGATATGAAAAGGGTTAGGAATAATGTTTATGGCCTACTTTTTAGGTAGACTATTGTCTATTTCTGTTATTGACATTATTCTCCTTTGCATTCTAATTAATATTAAATACTGCATTTAAGGGGGTCATTTGGAGGACAGTTTCATGATCTTTTATATTTTTTTGGATGACGAGAGAACTTTCATATTAATTTCAAATCATTGCATAGGTGTCAAAATTTCTAAAAATATATACGTATGCTGAAAAATATTTATTTAACATATTTAAAAAAACTTTTATTTTGTATGTGTCAACCTATTTTAATAGCACAGGTGTCGCTAAAATCGATAGTGACGCAAATATGTTATGAAAAGGGTTAGGAATAGTCTTTTGAGCTTACTTTTTAAGTACACTATTGTCTATTTTTGTTATAGACATTATTCTCCTTTGCATTCTAATTAATATTATATTTTTATATTATATTATTATATTTTTATATTATATTTTTATATTTTTTAGGATGACAAGAGAACTTTCGTGCATGCTGCGTGGAAAAAAACCGCAAGCATAAACCGAGACATGAAATGGAGGAGTCCATTAGTACAGTTTGGCTGTAATGGGATAGGGTAGTACAAGAACGCCTTTACTAACAGCATAACATCACACGCAGTGCCTCTCTTGGGCTCGTGACCGAATTGGTTGCACCGTAGACGCCTGGAAAAGGAAAAGTGTAGCTTGATCAGATCAGTCACGATTTCAACTGGTCAGGTCTGATGGGAGGGTTCAAGTATGGCGTAGGACCCACGAAGCCATGAACCCAAGCTGTCAACAAGACACTTATGGTGGCTTCATGCTGGTATGGGCTCCTGTTTCATGGCAGGAACTGGGTACAATGGTCCGATCCGATTACGCTGATCATAGACTGGAAATGTTTTATTTTATTTTACAACCGTCGTTGAACAGCCGATCCAATTTTTTGAGTTTACGACTACTAATGTTATACTCCGTAGCTTTGTCATTTTGAACCCAATCCAGAAGACAAGGGAACTCCTGGATCAAATATTTGTGGAAATTTTGCTTTCGTGGTGGACTTTTTTGATAGAACTATCCCGAATTTGCGTTACATGGAGAGAAAGACCACGAGAACCTCCCACGGTTAGCCTGACGACAAGGGGACTCTAACCCACGATTCCTTTACCACTGAGGATATTTTATGTCAGCACTTTGGTCGGCCCAAACCGGATGCTGAGTTCGTATTGACCCGGCTCACCTCATTGAAAGGCGAACGCTCTACCCCCTGAGCCATCACGGCTCGACTGGAAATGTTTATGATCAGAAACTTGGAGCTCACTCGCAGCCATTCATGAACTTCACGTACTCAAACAACGATGGAATTTTCATGAATGATAATGCTAAACGTCACCGGGCTTTCATTATTCACGACTGATTGAAGAACATTCTGACAACTCTAGCGAATGATTTGGACAAATAGATGAACAAACATGAATCCCATCGACTACTTCTTGAATATTATAATCGAGAGGTCATGCCCCAAATTCTACAATCGCAACACACTAACGCAATTTGGGATATCTATTTAAGCTGAATATACCTAAAAAAGACTTCCAACTACTTTGAGTCATTGCACGTCAACATCTATATCTATCTATCTATCTATCTATATCTATCTATCTATCTATATCTATCTATCTATCTATTTATATATATATGTAATACAAAAATTATATACTTTTGTATTAATAAAAGAATTAAGACTCTTTCGTTTTCATAAAATGTCTTTGTCAAAGAATAAGCGTAGAGAGATTCTATTTTGGGAATTCAAGGCTGAAAACATACCATTGAAATATAAATAGATTTATATTTCAAAGGAAGAGTTATTTTTAGAATCGTTCCCTCTGTCACTTCCATATAAGGAAGCAGTAAATGATTTTCCTTAATGCGTAAGGTTACAAGGAATGTACG